GCCCAGTCGTTCCACAACTGGAGCGACTACTTGCCGATGGCCGAGTTCGCCATCAACAACGCGGTGCATGCCTCGACTGGGCATACACCCTTCTTCGTGAACGCCATGAGGCATCCACGCCTTCCGAGTACACTCGGGGCGGTGCCTTCCTCCTTAAGTGGGGGAGGATCTACGGTTGCGTCCGAACAACCACAGAATTCAGCTGATACGAACCTATCAGCTGCGATGACACGCGCGAGAGCGAGAGCCCGCACACGACAAAGCGACATGCCAGTGCCGGGCACTGACACTGTGAAGAACCACGAGCAGGCGACACCTGCTGCGACCAAGAACAATGTGTCTGTGCGGGGCACAGACACCGAGAAGACTCACGCGCAAGCCGGCCCGGCATCGATACTGAAAAGGCCGGGCATCGATACTGAGAAGATTCACGCGCAGGATGGGCCTGCTGCGATCACACACAAAGTGTCAGTGCCGGACACTGACACCTCAAAGGGCCACGCACAGTCGGGGACTGAAGCGACTACAAGTGGCGGATCTGTGTAGGGCACAAACGCGGACAAGACCAACGAGCTGGACCAGGGGTTCAGCTCTCAAGCAATGGACTTTGTCCACGAACGACAAGCAGTCGTTCGATTTGTACAAGATGCAATTGCAGCTTCTGCGGATAGGCAGAAGCTGAACGCAGATAATGTTGGCAGAAGTAATACAAATGAATTCAAAATCGGTTCATTGGTTTTGTTATCTACGCAAAACTTGCCTACTCATGCAACTTCTGGATTCGGGCAAGCTTGCTCCGCGCTTCATTGGGCCGTTCACAGTGACAGAACGTCACGGCAGCGCGTACACGTTGGAACTTCCTCCCGACATGAGACTTCACCCAACATTCTAAGTTGGACGATTGAAGCCATACGTGCAGCCCGAGTCATCTAGTCGTGACGACACGCCGACGACGACGCGCGGCGCGTCCTCACCTTCTCCTCAAGCCGCTTCACCTTCTCCTGGAGTAGGCGAACTTGTTCCGACACCTCAACACGGATGTTTGAGGTGATCTGAGCGGCTTTGGCCACGTAGGCCTTCTGCAAGTTCAGCTGTTGTCTTAGTTCAGCGTTCTCCGAAGCCTGAACAGTCACAAGAGCCTCCACGGGGGCGAGGAGGGCCTGAAGACCGTGGTCAACCTGGGGTTGCCCATATGCACCGCCGGCAGAAGCAGAACCCTGTTCGCGGTACGATCCACCGCGAGGTGGATCGGATTGTTGATCACATCAATCCGAAGACGAACCGAGGTCCGGTTCGTTTTCGTATTCGTTGGAGACAATCGGGTCTCCTTCGAGATACATGGTTTCCCCGAAACGTCCTGATGACAGACGTTCCGGAAATGGTGAAGGCGTACCAAGCCCACCACGGACTGGAGGTGTAACACTGCGGGGTGCAGTGTTTCGCGGAGTGTTGTGCTCACCCACAACACTGGGATGCTGACGCGTGCAAGAGAGCTTAGCACGTAGCTCCTTAATGTTTGCGGGTACACGGCTAACCGTGTACCCGGTGAGGTCTCTTTCAACGATACGAGGAGCACCAACGGGGCAATGAGGGCAATGAACGCCCTCCGGCACAGCACAAGGAATCTTCGCGTTCACGGAACCTTCGTGAACGCGCTGGACGGCAGAAGTAAGAGAATATTTGGCGAAGCGCTCACGAGCGGAAGAGATCCGCGGTAACCTGATGGATCGTTGTTGAAGTTCGCAACGAACTGATTC